GGGGGGGGGGGGGGGGGGGGGGGGGGGGGGGGGGGGGGGGGGGGGGACAAGGACATGAACACAGACCAGTGATGGGTTGTGTTACAATATCACCCCCTTGCAGCAGAAGGAGTGGTAACCATGACAACATCTTCACCACGACTACCCCATCTTCCCTACTTCTTTACCCCCCTCTACCCCCCCCCCCCCGCCCCCCTGCGGTCTGCTGATGTTTATTGTCTTTTTATCGTCACAGGATCACACAATTTGTATCACCTGTTACAGTTGCCGCAAGAAGAAGCAACAACCCCCAACAATAGTAGACAAAAGCTACAAATAAAGATGAGCATCAGCGAGGATTCAGAATGCTTTAAAAGCCATTTAATCCCCAGCATCCAGTTCATTAATTCACAGTGACCGTGAAGAGCAGAAACTGCCACGTGTTAGAAAAACACATCTCACCCCAAACAGCATCATAAACAGACATATGGCGGACGTTTAGAGGGCAGGGAGGAGGGAGGTAGGAAATAAGGACGCTCATTTAAACAGATCTGGAAGGTCAGAAACCAGCAGAGAGTGGGGGCTATTTATCCAGAAACTGGTGAACAGCCCACCGGATACATTTTCAGTGAAGTAAGAGAAACAAACCAATAGCATACCAACTTCAATCAAGCCCAATACAAACAGAAAAACTAAAAAAATGTCTAAAAAGAAAGTCACCGGGGAATTCTGAAACTCATGCTTTGGAAATTAAATGTTGACTCTTGTCTTTAAAAGTAGAGATTTAAGCAGATATAAAAAGTGAACATATCAGTAAATGAAACAAAAGTTTCAAATGTCCATAAAACTGACTTTGTGATTATCATGTCTTTTTTTATAGTATAAAAAAAATAAAAAATAGCCTTGAAAGGACTGTTCTTCCATGTGTAAGATGATGTTGCCCAAATATCTTTCCTCCCTTCCTGTTTCTCCTGTTCAAGCCGCACAATCATTTGATCTTCCCGTCAAACTTTCCATCCGTCATGAAAAAGACTTCCAAAATCCTTTTCTCTCATCCTGTGGTGTCACATGGGCTCAGAGCAACACTCCACCATCCCAACTGCCTGTGTTGCTGGATTACTCTGAGCTTTCAGGGCTGTTCGTCTGAGCTTGTGTGGAGACACAAAGATGTGCGCTGTGTGAGTGTAAGTGTGCGTTTGAGCTGGTGCCAAAGCCACGAGAAAAAGACCCGGCGCATCCAAAGCAAATTACAGGGACAAAGGGAGAATCAAGGAGGCACCAAATGAATGGCGCGGTTTTGTTTTTGCTCCTCAAAAGAAAAGACAGATGGTCCAACTGAACTCGGAGCCCGCTGGATTTTTTCCACATTTAAAGTTTGTGTTCTGGGCGACTCTGAGACCGCCCCATGGAGGTCAGCAGGCCGTGTGCTGGACGGAGGAAGAGCACGGAGGCTAAATAACGTGCAGCAGGACTGTATGAGAGCAGTTCAGATAGCAATTTTATGTGAGAGATGCAAAGTCCACCTTTGAGATTGGTTGAGATTGATCAGCATTACTCTTAAAATGCTGAGGAAGTCAAAATGTCCTTCTTTTTAAAAATGAAAACCCCATGTTTGGAGAACATTCCACGGAGAGATCTGAATCCAGCCAACAATTCTTAAGTTTTATCATCTGACCGGTCCGTGGTGCTGACCAGCCGGAGCACAAAGGGGCTCAGATGCTTTAAGCCAGCATCCGTTGGGTCAGAACTGAGCTCAGATCTGGCATCCATGCCGATCGAGGACTTATTGAGATTATATCCGGAGCCCTGTAATTACACTCTAATTAAAGAGCCAAAAAAAAAGACTGGTAAAAACTTTTAATTTAATGATCAAACTGTAATTTTTCTCTCACTTGACATATCTGAAGCACTTGCTGTCAAGTTGCCTTTTCTCAAACACTCACAAGTCCGCTCCTCTTTTGAAGGCCTTCCTAATTAAAAACTGCCATTATGAGGGGATCACTTAGGAGGTTTTCCAGGCAGCTGGGGCCGGTGAATGAACTACAACCGATTAGATTGGAATCGCAATAGATTGGATTGTTAAATGCTTGAATTGAACTGTATTTCTGAGGTGCTTAGACTTGACATTTTCAGGGATTTGGTGCCACATAAACAGAATTAAATTGAAATGAAATACCCGTCGAATTGGGAAACATCCCACACTGACCTCATATCAGCAAACAAACCTTTCGTGATAGTTATAAGTAGTTTAATTTGTCGTTTAATGCATGGACATAAACTTTCAGACAAGATATTTCTTTAAATGACAGATAAAACTCTTATTAATGGGGGAATTTATAAACAAAGGATAATGTCGGCTATTGTGAAGAAGTGGATTTATATTTTGTTGGCATAAAATATATATTAAAATATAAAGGGATGGTACTGGTGTAAACTATTACAGTAAATAAAGCTCTTAAGTTGCACAGACTGTGTCGTTAAACTTTAATGCTGCTGCCCCACCATGGCTGCATCAGTAGCTGTGTGGAATGAGGTCCACATTGTAGCCAACGAAGGCCTTTACACCCCTTTATTTCTTATTCTTGAATACTTTTAGTTTCAACGAAGTTCTAAATCTTCTCAGATTTGCTGTGAACGTGTTCCCTCTGTGGCTCGACGTGCTTCTGATTGGACGTCAGGCTGAGTGACGGGGCTCTGCTCCCTCGGCTCCGGGTTCAAACGCCCCTCGCACACCCCCCACACAAAGGGGATGTCTGTTTCCCTCCCACAATGGTGTGTTTTCCTCGTGTAGGCCGGGGCCCTGGACGCTGCTGGACGCTCCGGTCTGCTGCCTCCAGGGCGAGGAGCAGAGCGGGGACGGGCCCGACCCTGTGAGAATCCAGCCGTTTTTTTTGCCCGTGCTGAGCCGTGAGCTTTTTGTGTGGTTGGCATGACAACCCCCTCGGCTGCCCTTTGTCTGCTGGAGGTCTCTGTGCGCAGCTACAGGCTCGTGCAAAGTAGGGGTCCGGTTTAGAGAGATGGCGTGATGCGGCGGCGCCGAGGCCTCTGGAAGGTTCCGGCTGCCAGCAGAGGACACGGAGGATGAGGCAATTATGTGCAAGTGATTGAAATATGTCTGTAAAAAACACTGATGAAATGAACAGACTCTTACTTTTTTTGCTCTTTCTTTGCTTGGGGACACATACAAATCCTCTGCCAAGATAGGAATTAGTCAGTTCAGTTATTTTTTATTGCCTGTTTACAAGAAGAAAAAATGCAAAGAACAAATTATGACATACACCATGAAATCGGAGGAAACTTAGAAAACACTAACACAGGCAAGCCAGAGGGTTCTGACGAGGGTTTTTAACTAGAAATGTAGTTTTTATTTGGTCAGCTTTCGGGAGATAGACAAACATTCAGGCATAAAAACGTTTCCATCGGTATTGGTGGATGTAGGTTTTTGGCTTGAGATTTTACAGTAGAGGCTCACGTTTTTATTTGGGACTGGTACAGGACACTGAACGCCCCATGGGAGGAGACCACTCCAACTGGTAGCTGCTCTCACCCCTGAGCCCACCCATAAAAGTAGAACAAGTACAACATAATGTCACTGCCTCTCATAAGGCCTTTCTTGGGAGGCATCCTGACCACACGCCCACACCACTTTCTAAGGGGTTTGTCACGGCTGTAGATTAGCTGCAACACACAAGGTGGAACCCATCGAATTAGGTTGCAAAGTGAGTCCGAAAGCTTGTTGTTTTCCACTTTTGATAAAAAGAAAAACTCTATCGGCATTGATACAAAGACACTTTTCTTCATTTCTCTCTTCCATCCCTGAAAACAAGTTCTTTAGAGTTTTTTCTGAAACCATCACATCTATATGCTGATCTATCTATCCCTTCAGTGACCTTAGATTTGTTTCACTGAGACGTAACAATGGCCATTCAATCCCTGCACACTGCTACCAGGCGTTCAAACTCTGAACAAGCGTCAGCTGCAAAACTCCACGAAACAAGACGGAGAAGAAACCAGAGGCTCCACTCATCTGTTCAGTCAAACGATTTGGGAACATGAGAGGAAACAGCGCAAAACAGCGAGGGCCAGACAGCCGGCGCTGCATTATTCAGCAGAGACGGAGAGAAAAAACCTGCTGCTTTTTATCTCTCCCTGTCACAGTCAGGCGTCAGCAAATATTCCACAGAAGACTCATTTAGGAGGATGGCTCAATAGACGCACACTTTTCAAATCGATGGACTTCAATAGACTTTTCCCTGCCTGTGAAATCTGGTTTAATTTGCAACCAGCAGCCTGCGCTGCTGATTTATTCATGATTTCAGCTGCAGATTGTGATCAAAGCTGGAGACACAGAGGTGACCTCGGGAGCACTTTTACAAAGCAAACCTGTTCTAACCTGTGACTTCTGTCTGTTAGGTCGCTGGTGCGACTCCGACTTCTCTCTGATGTCCAGAAAAACATACAGTGACCTCTTTTTTATATCAGATATTTAAACAAAAAGTGAGGGCGATGTTAAAAGTAATTGCATCAAGTTATGCCTAATGTATTAAAAAAGATGAAGGAAAACAAGATACAGAACAGAAACATTGTTTGGTTTATGCTAGATTATTACAGTGAAAACGTTATCAGATTTTTTCAAATATAATTTGAACACCTCACAGGGACAGATTTGACCAAATTAGTATGACCAAAGGATACCTGCTGCATGTGCGTGTTTGTGCTTTAAAACAAAGAAGAAATTATGGTTTAGAATACGCTGCGTGCTGATTTGCTGGTTAGTGTGCGATTGTCGGGCTGTTTTCCACAGCAGAAACTTAACAGGCACGGCTCTGTTTTCTGAAGCCCTCTCGGCCAAAGCGCATTCAGTGGCTCCGAGCTCAGAATGTCCAGTAAATCTGTTGCTGGAAAGCGGCTGTGCCACACAGGAAGGCACAACTCTAATTAGACTGAAATCAGGCAATTAATCAAACTTATTTGTGCAGCACTTTTCATAGTGGCCTAATGCAGTGTCTGGATAAGCAGCTCAGATTAACGCAGAAAAGCAGCTTCATGGATTCACAGGCAGCTGATGAGGGAAGTGGGACCCGGCGAGGAAACATTCCAGAGAGTTCCAGATGAGAAAAACCTGGTTTCCCTTTGGAGCTCATCCTCATTTTATAAGATTTGCAGGATAACTTGATTACTGTTCGGTAATTATGTTTTTATGACAGGAAAATAATAAATGCTGGAGCTGAAATAGGATTTTTGGTCATTTTGGTTTAATCTTTGAATCATTCAAAGGCTTTGCAGCATGGATCTCAAACTCCGGTCTTCAAGGGCCACCGTCCTGCAGGTTTTTGATGTTTCCCTGATTCAGGACGCCTGACTCTGCAGATTTCAGCAGAGATCCAATTAAAACCTGCAGGACAGCTTGAGATCCCGGTCTTAAGCCGGTGATGGTGTTATAAACTTTTTCAAACTTTTCCCAACTGTCTCAGAAAAGGGCACTGTTTTAATAAAAGAAGCACTTTGATGAGTCGTTGAATATTTCAGTAGTTGGGACTAAAGGGTTTTATGGTTTAAGTGTTTCTCTGGAATTTGTTTACAGTAAACATCATAAAGACAGTTCCCACTTCTTTATTTCTCCCCTTCCTCAATTGTTAGCTAAGGTTTTAGCTCAGGAAATCTCTGAAAATAAGGCACAATGAGATGGTAAATACACCAGCGGCTCAGTGAGGGAACTTAAAACGCTGACACCAAAAGGACGAATACTTTGTTATAACAGTAGTTGTAATATTGTAATAAAAAAATATCAAAGCTTGAGGGCAAAAAGTGGCCTTTTTTGGGGCTTCGGTCCACAGACAGCAATTAAAGTCCTCCTGCAACGTCCTGTGTTTTTAACCGAAGTCTATCCTTGAGAAAATCAAACCAAACGATGTCTTCATCTCCGTCAAGACTACAAGACTCAATCTGGGTGTGACACACCCCTCTGGCAGCTGACTCCGCACATGAAAGCAGGGGACAGTGTGTGTGTGTGCCTGTGTGTGTGTGTGTGCAGGGACTTCAGGGCCGGTGTAAATTATTCAGCGGTGGTGGGTTCCTCTCCGGGAAGATGGAAGTAAAAGCAGTTTGTCTCCTCCTTGCCTGGCCGGCCTCACTCAGGGCCATCAGCAGATCCCAGCGTGCAGCCGGTCCGCATCAATTATTCAACACCATAATCCCGTGAAAGGTATACAAGGCCCTCGGCTCATAGCGCTCGGCCTCTTTATCGGTCCCTCCTTAATAGCGTCAGACGCTCTGCGTTAGAGCCTGCAAGAGGGTTTATTTTCTGTGCTGGTCAAGATTTAATAAAGAAAAGGCTGTACTATTTGTCTTATTTGTCACAGAGCCAACTACAGTGGGAGCATTATGCAGCTCAGCAGGCAGTTTTTTCCCAGGAGTACTGTTCTTACTTTAGAAAAAGTGGTATTTTTCCCATTTACCAACAAAGCAAAGGCCCATCTACAAGACAGTAAACAGATCTGCAAACAAAGAGCAATGCTGACATCGTCCTAAGCCGAGGCATGAGATGCATGGGAATAAACATCACCGACTCTATCTGCAGCATTAGATATGTTTCCCAGGTTAGTTGTGAGCTATATTTGACTCAGGTTTGAGCTCTTCTTGGTGATAATTATGTGAGAATCTCAAATCCCAGCAGCCATTTTTATTTAAAGCCTTTAATAAGATAATCACAACAACAAGGGCTTGTTTTTGAAGAAAAAAATCTTTGCGAAGAAGAAAAAAAAAGCTGTGAAAGAGGCAACCACAGTCTATAAATGTCCCGTCCTGCCAGGTAAAGCCATGCTTATTTCAGCAAAACAATCCCAAACCACGTTCTACACAAACAAAGTCATTCCCTGAGTGACAGTGGGCGTGAAGTGGCCCGTAATGGAAGAGGATTTTGACTTCCGAGAAGATGCAATCTTCTTATTCATGTACTTTCTCTTCCTCTGTAATCCTGTGGTGTGCGCGGTGATACACACACACACACGCACGCACACACACACGTGCACACACATACGCACAAACACACACACCATCTCAGGTCAACGTGCCATTCATCATTGACCGAATCCGACTTTTACCACGAATATAAAACAAGAGTGAGCAAGAGGTCTTGTAAATACACATTCATGTTTATTACCATTTATTTTTTTTACATAAGACTATAGATTGTTAGACTTTTCGACATAGACTTTTCCTTTAAAACATTCATATTTTTATTTCCACAATCGCCTTTTCTTGTCAAAAGAAAAAGTTGTTCATATCCAATAGTAACAAAGACTGGTAGGTACAATAATTCACTTAAAAACTCTTCTTCTTTAAGTCGATGCAAATCAGTTGTGACAACAAAAAAATACAACAGCTCGAGAGTTCCCTCCGTGAAGACTTTAGTTTTTCTCCCCACAACCGAGCTGAGAGACCACGAATAGCTAGAGCTCGTATATACATGCACTAAAGTGCTAGTGTTCAAAAGGCATGCAAATATTTAACTGATGTCCGTACGACCACCTTCCGTGGATGCATAAGTTTTGTCGGGACGCCGTCGTCCGTCTTCCACATGACAACATTCATCCAAATGTAGAAATAAGCTCGGGCATTAGCATCAGAAATGACATCATGTGTGCCCACTTCAGATCAGATGAAGCGGGAGGTTTTTGTCGGTTTCGTCTGTTTTATTAGCTTGTGTCGGTGTCCCAAAAGTGACGCTTCCAAGGAACGACGGGAACCCTCATTTAAAAAACGAGGAAGCGTGCGATGCTACAGACTGAAAAAACTAAATGTAAACGGATTGAAAAAAAAATGTAAACCTGAAACAAACGCAACAGTTTTCACCTGAAAAAAAAGCTTTGTAATTGTGGCTTCTTATCTGTGTATGCATTCAACACATAAAAACACACACACACACACATATCTGGGGGGGGGGACGACTAACTGAAGTGTTCAGGCACCTCTCATGGAAATATGACTTTATGTCCATGAATTTACAGTACATTCCAGGTTCACCCGAAAAAAAAAAAAAAAAAAAACAACAATAAAAGTTCTGGTTCCTTGATGGTCGGGGGGTGCTAGGGGGTGGAACCCCAGCCCCGCTTCAGGCTCCAAGTCCTGGGAGTCTCTACTTCTGGGGGAGTTCTGAGGTACTGGGTATCTTTAGGCAGAGGTGGAGGCGGGGGGGCCGGCCTCACGCCGGCTCCTCACCTTCCAGGATGGGCTTCCGGGTCCCCAGCGGCGGGAAGGTGAACCTCCTCTTCATGCCCTGGCTCCGCCTTGGGGAGGAGGAGGGGGAGCGGGCGGCCCAGCGGGAGGGGGGGCGCCGGTTGGCCGGGCGCGCTGGTCTCAGGAAGCAGGAGTCCAGGGGCGGGGCCACTGGAGACCGGGGCAGGTCCTGCCAAACGACAAGGAGCCGTCAGAGAGGGGGGTCTGCAGCCGCTCGCTGCCTCAGAAAAACAGGAAGTGGGCAGATTGACTCAGAGAAAGATGAATGGAAGTAAGAGAGAGGAGTGAGCAGGGGTCAGATGTATAAATGATGCACCCAAAATGCCAGAGAGGGACCATTTTTTCTGACCTTTTTGTTTGAGCCATTCTTTGGTGCTGTCCAACAAAAAAAAACTCTGCTTTAAAACTTGGGACACACTTTCATCCAATATGGCGGCTTTCAAGATGGCGGCCATGTTCACGACATAGCTTAAAAGATTGGCCTCCCTCACCCATTACTAACTGGAGTTTTCAGACATGTCATTTTCCCTTTAGTTTAAAAAAATGGTGCTCAGTTTTTCTAATTTCGGATTTCAGATTTGTGCATGGTGACAGACGTTTTATCAACATTTCTGATCAAATGATGATGAAAATTGCATCAAATCAATAGTTTTTTTGTGCGAAAAAACTGACCAAGTGCAAATTGTAAGCATGTTGCATGCTGCTATATTTCTCTCTCTCCCCCTAAATGAGACCTGCCATCTGCTAAAGCCTGTGAGAAACTGGAAAAAATGACGGCTAATCAGTAAAAGCTAATGAATGTATGAGGACAGAAATGATCAAATGCTGTAGCCCTCCCTCCCTGTGTTGTCCAACTTCATCCAAACATTCTTTTTCTATTAAGTGACAAAAACCCGCCCTAAGCATTGAAAAGTCCGGGCATGAAAGCGGTCCATTTTTGTTGGACTTCATCATCATTGGCATGATTAATGCAGAATTAAGCCACGTTGGGGAATTTATAAGTGAACCAATGCCGAGTGTCATACATCTGACCCCTTTGCTGACAGAAGTGCAAGAAAAAGAAAGAAAAGAAGGTGATTGTAAAGGAAGAATCCCCCTCAGAATGATGGGACTGAGTGAACTATCACACACCACTGGCCCAACTCAAAATGCTCCTCTCCAGGCCCGACATTTCAGCTCGCAGGAGCCGTCGGTAAAGCAAAGCACCGGTCTATTTCTGCTAAAAAATACACAGCAGTCAAACCTGCTGTGGTGCAGGGCGGACGGACAGGAGGACAAATAACTGAGACAGGAGGGCGAACGGTCAGAGACGCGTTACACAACCTGCAGGAAGTCCCGACTGACCGGTGGAAAAACAAAGTCACAGGGATGAAGGGGAAGGGCAAGGCCTCCAACAATCAAATAAGCTGTTATTGAAAGGAGCCGAAGGACAGCCAACCGCTTTAACTGGCTACCAGAGTACATGTGCAGCTCTAATATTTTCCCTCACACACGCCGCAGGAAGTCAGCTTAAAGGAGTGGCTACAGGAGGAAGCACAGTGAGACTGCTTTGATCTTAAGGGAAAAATCCACTTTCAAACACTTTGACACCATTATGCAAGACAACCAGCTTCACAAACACATTACAGAATAAACTTCATGGAAAAATAACTAGAAATCATCTGTATTTAGTCAAATGTTAAAAGGGCTCTCTGCTCTGTTCCATTCCCCTTTGAAAAGACTTTATCAGCACGTGTGGGTCGAGTTGGTGACCCACAATGATTGGTGGAAAAAAAGGTCTGACTTGGACTGGAGCTACAAGTAGCCATCGCTTGTTTCAACCTTTAAGAAGCTCCTTTTAGGTGTCTTTCACACAGGAAATAAATAAGAACAGGGAAGATTTGCATTTGTCTTAAGACGCCTGGTTACACTGTAATCTGTTGCCACAGTTACAACACTTTCTGGAGGGAGGCCACCTCACATGAATCAGTCCTTATCCGGTCATGATTCTGCATATTGTATGCTAAGCTAGCATCTTTCTGGCCTGGGTGTGCAGTTCAGAGAATAATAAAAAGAAACAAAGTGAATTTTTAATTATCAAAGACCTGCTTGGAAACATTTATTTTGGGAGATAGTGAGAGGCTCTGCTCTGATAAAATCCTGATTTCATAAGCTCATCTGATAGATATTAGAGGCTGGTTGATAAATGTGAACCCACTTTCTTAAATTAAAAATGAAAAACACCCTTTTGAGATGGCATGGCTGATCAGATGTTTCCACTTACAATCATCTATACAATTTGGCAGAAAAACATACTTTTTTGCAATGATATGGCCAAATATACTGCTTTTGCATTCTTTTTTAAAAAGTTTTGTTTCAGTTAGCATCCTCCATACTTTAGTTATCACAGCTGTGCAGAAGGCAGAGCAGCTTGGAACGCTGCCCTCAGAGATTAGATGAACAATTGTTGGATGGACTTCAGGACACGGTGAGAACAAACTGCATTTTGTGCATCTGAAGATGGATTTTTCCTTTAAGCATGCATCATGAACCAGAAAGAAATCAATCTTCCACCATGAAACACAAATAACCAGGACGGGTGAGCGTTCACAGGAGATGAGTGTTAGAAGTCACCTTCATCTGTTAATTTCTGGAGGACTTGTTAGTGTGAGAGGAGTTGAGGGTAAACCGTCAGAAGAAAGAAAGCTCTATATGGAGAATAAGTCAAAACAAAAGAAAAACGATATATACATATATTTGTATACGTATATATATGAGAAGATATAAGAGGATAACAGCACAGGTCACTCAGCTGGTGACATAGGGAGGGGGACCTGGTGGAAACACAGGGTTAAATTAATCTGTATGTGGCTCACACAGACATCAACCAACCAGTAACTGTTCAAGAGTTGGATTTTTGCTGTTAAGAGTTGGATGTTCACTGATTAGCATTTTGACACAAATATTCAAATGCAGTCCAACCAGTGATGAAGACACAATCTGGTGAATCTGGTGAGCTGGCAGGACCATACCAATGTTTGCATGTTTTTTTCTCTCCAGAAAGTCAACACAACTACGCCCAGAGAGCAGGAACTGGCTACATAAAATCACACTTAGTTTTTTAAACCAAGTTATTATTCAATGTTTCAAGCAAACATGAATAATAACTTCTCAGGATTTTGTCAAAAAACAAATGTCTGAATGTCCTTGCTAAAAACTAGAAAGATGTGAATTTAACCCAGTTTATTATCTGTCAAGATTAAAGACCGTGTCCACCTTCATGTGTTTGTTCCTTCTTTTTCCCATTCAATTTTTGGCTTCAAATGTCCAGCAGAAATCTATCTACATAAATGTACTTAAAAGCAAACACTCAATTTCCTATTTTTTCTACAGTTTGCTTTGATGTGTGTTCTGACTTTAAGGGAAATCGCTAAATTAGAGTTCTCACAAGTTTCGGCTCTCTGATGCAATTGATTTCATACAGATTGGAATGAATCCACAGTTTCTGAATGCATCATTTAAACATGAGTAGACGTGACTGATGGTTCATTGGCGTGAACATGCAAAACCACTGGTATGGTCCTTTAGAAAAACCAAAAAAAGAAAAAAAAAACATGATCAGTTTAAGATACTAAGCATGCAGCACGTGTTAACAAGAGGGATGGCTGTCCAACAAACTCTGACACCACGTCGATGGGCTTTACACACTGTCACTGCTGACCTGTGAAGCATGCATTAATGAAGGGGGAGGAGGAGGAGGAGGGGGGGGGGGGTGACGAGGAGGGTCTGCAGGGCGTGAGGTGAAAGGTCCATGTGGTTGGTGAACCCACCGCCAAAGGCCGTAGAAGAAGAAGAAGAAGAAGAAGAGGTGGAGGAGGAGGAAGAGGAACTTACATCGCGGAGACAAGCAGAGTTAGAGTCCCCAAGGAGTTGTTAGTATGACAGTGTGGTTCTGGATCAGAGCACAGCGGACGGGAAGGAGGACGGAGAGATAAAGCCCAAAGGGGAGGAGAAGGGGGGGTGGGGGAGAGGAGGAGGGAAGATACAGAGCGGGAGATGTTAATCGGCAAAATCGAGGGAAAGAAGAGATACATGATAATTCTGGCAGAAAAAGGGGTGGCTGCTTTCCTCCAGCAGACCACGCAGAAAGCAGCACATTGACTTTAGACCTGGAGAAAACACAGGGTGGTGGTGGTGGTGCTGGTGCTGGGGGGGGGGGGTGTTTTCCTTTAAAGTGGAACTAACTTACATAATTCAGTTTGTTAGGCAGAAAATGGAGAAAACCCTGTCGGATCATCCGTCTACACGGGGCCGAAGAAACACAGACGCGGGCCTTAATCCGCTGTGGAATCAGATCCACATGCTCCCTAAATCATCCGGATAGTTTCAGGAGTTTCTGAAAAGCGGCTCAGAAAATCTCCGATGATTTGGAAGCACTCGGGTCATTCTCACCGGGAAACACTTGCCCAGAATTGTATTGTAATTTTTCCCTTTTCTCTCACTTTAAGTCTGAACATGTGTCCTCTCCACTCTCAATAAAAGAATTTAGACCGAACTCTGCTCTTAAACACCCATTTATGTACGGATATTATTCATTCCCTCATGTCTTTTACGGCTCAGCTATCCTCTTGTTCTGAACAACACTGAAATCTAAAGTGGGTTCATGCTGCTTACTGTGCGTATACATGAAAAGTAGCAGTTTAAGCATTCAAACGGGACCAGAAAAATCTTGTTTACCGTCTAGTTTTTATTTCCACACGTGTGCTGAATGGGGTTTTTAAATTCACCTTGAAGATTTGATATCAATGAGTATCCCTCCGTCAGTCAGCATGCACATGAATTAAGGTTCAAAAGGGCTTGAGTGACGGCTGGAGAGCAGAGTAAGAGCCAAACCGTGAGGAAGAGGGAAATACAGAGAGAGAAGAAACCAGAGTTTCTGAGTTACAGCAGTGGGAGGAAGCTCAGAGCTGCTGAGGAGGCTTCAATACTTTAACATTACCATCGCATCAGTCAGTGCTTTCGATCTGAGAGGGGAAAAAAAAAAAAAAAAAAAAAGCATCAACATTTTAGTGCACGGAATAGACTTCACATCCTCTCTATGGACAAACACGGGCCGCTTAAAGTTTGTCCCTTTTCCCGGGAAAGGTGGCGGTGAAACAGGGGCCCCTGGTCAAATGAGTGAAGAGGCGGTGGATCCAGTGGGTCTGTGTGTTTACCTCCATGCCTGCGGGCTGCTCGGCCGGCCGGGCGGCGGGTGGCGGGCGCCGCTCCTCCCTGAGGCCCTGCTCCTGCAGCTTCTTGTTGAGGATGCGGGCGGCGTTCTCGGCCAGCGTGTAGCCCGGCGGGGCCGAGAGGTCCGGCCGGCCTCCGGCCGCCTCCGGGTTCCTCTCCCCCGTCTGAGTCTCCGCCGCCAGCTGGACGGGGCTGGGCGAGCGGCCGCGGGCGGCCCGCGGGGCCTCCGGCGCCGCGCCCCAGGGGTCAGCGGCGGGCGGGCCGGGGACGGGGTCGGCGGCGGTGGGGGGGCGGGAGCGGCTGGGCGACTTGTTGAACTTCTGGAGGGAGTCGTACGCCACGGGGCTGTGGTCGATGATGTTGAAGAGGCTGGACAGGCCGTCGTTGATGGTGGTGTGGACGGGGCTGTCGCGGGTGGTGGTGGAGCGGGCCCACGCCGACTCGCTGTGGCCCTTCTGCGGCGTGGTGGGCGTGGGGGCGCGGCCGGCGGCGGCGGCGGCGGCGGGCGGCTCGGCCTTGCCGGCGGCCGACGGCCGGCGCTGGAGCTTGGGCGAGCCGTACTTGGGCGAGCAGCAGGGCCGCTCGAACTTGCTCTGGACCACGGGCGAGTACTGGACCTTGCGGGCGCCGCGCGAGGGCGAGGAGACGGGCGTGGCGCCGCCCTTGGGCGTGAGGCAGCGGTGGGGGCTGCTGGTCAGGTTGCGCAGCAGGTCGGTCTGCAGGCCCACGCTGATGGTCTGCGTGGTCTGCGTGCCCCGGCTGGTCACCCCGTTGGTCTGGCAGGCCGAGTCGCGGCAGGCCGGCCCCGCCGGCGAGCGGATGGCGTTCCGCACCGAAATGGCCACCTCCTTCATGTCGTCGCTCAGGTTCCGGGACAGCTGCAGCTCCAGGGAGGAGGCGAAGCCCACCGTGGGGCAGATGGGCGACTGGCTGGGGGAAGTCCTGAGCCCCCCCGCCTCCAGGAGGCAGGGCCAGCGGGAGCTGTTGAAAACCTCCTCCGGCCCCCCGCCCGTGCCCCCGGGCTCCCCCCCGCCCCGGGCTTTGGTCCCCATGGCGTACAGGAAGTCCGGGTCTTGCCCCGGGGGGCACTCGGCCGCCCCGGGCCGGGTGGGACTGTGCAGGACGTGGAGGCCGTAGTGCTCCACCCCCACCCCGCCGGCCCCCGCCCCGTTGCCCCGGAGCGGGGGCCTGTGGCAGTGCTCCGGGCTGCTCAGGGTGCTGGTGGTCAGCGTGGCGCTGGTGGTCAGGAACCAGGAGGCGGGCGGGAAGGCCTCGGGGGCGGGCTCCCCCTCCCGGAGCGGCCGGGGGCCGGAGGGGGACGGGGGGAAGTCCCAGCCCTTGTTGTTGAACTCCTCGATGTACTTGAGGTCGTCCGGGGAGAGGGGCGGCGTGACGTCGTCATGGCCGCCGCCGTCGTCGTGGCGCGTCTTGTCCGGCAGGAACGGCGAGCTGTCCATCAGCCGCTGGAAGTCGCTCATGGAGCACACGGACTTCGCCCTGGAGGCGAAAACCAAAGCAAACGAGCCGTTACTCTCACCTGGGACCGAACGGCAAACAGATTACAGCATCATTTAAAGTCCCTCTGTGGGCGGGATTGTTTTTTTTGTTGTTTTTTTTGCTTTTCAGCCCTTTAAACGGGTCTGAATTATTCATCTGTATCCCTTTCCTGCCGTAAAAAATAAACTCATGAGAAAAGTCCCAGGGGAGAAACTCCCTGCCACTTCAAGATTCCCTTTGGCTGAAGGTTTTCTCCAGATGTTACCTGAGCAGGCTGCCGCCCTCCCTCATCTCTTCTTCTTCCTCCTCTTCTTCTGGGTAATCAGGAGCAGCCTCTCTCTCCGAAATCTCATTTAGTGCCTGAGAAACACAAGAAAAAACACATTTGTTTCTGTCAGACAACAATGTTTTCTCATATGAGAAAAACCTGAGCATGATTCTTAGCTCAGATAATAAGAGGATACAGAGGCTGAATTAGACATTGGAGATATGATACTTTTCCTTCAGATTGCAAGAACTTATATTGCTTCATTTTAAAAAATGGAAAATATCTGCATTAATTGCAGAATTAATTCATGACATGAACTGTATAGGGATTAAAGCTAAAGACACAAGGCTGAGAATAGGGGCCTTAGAGGCCTCACTGAAGGAGCCTTAGATCAAACTTAAGATCCAGCTGAATAATCTTCTCTTGCTTTGGAACGGCTATGAACTCATATGAGTCACAGAACCAGAAATATTTCAACTGCAGCCATTATAAGAAGCTTACTGTCTAATTGTCAGAGACCTTTATGGAAGTAAAAGGAAACAGAGTCATTCCAAAGTTCCCATGAAACATTCATCTACCCACATTCATATGAATATACATAAATCGTAGGTCATATTCTTCCAACTGTTGGTCATTCGGTTGGTCAAACAGCCCGGGACAGCTGGAGACACCGATGATGTAACAGCAGGCCGGCTGAATCAGGAACACTCCTGCAGGTTTTTCGAGAAATGTCCTCTATAGGCTATATTTTTTAGGACATATAGAACTTTTAGCTACGATTTTGGCTGATGCTGTGCAATGTGTGCTCAACATCATTTATGAAGATCCTCAGCAGATTTCCCCCTCATCGTTTTCTCTTCATTTCGTTGTTAATCGTCTACTTGGTTTTTTTCTGGATAAGCTGTTAGACAAATATAGCGTCTCTATATAATAACAGTGTAATAACGCATCGCTCATGCGTGGGACTTCTCACAGAGCTGACCTCATCCATGGCCGTTACCTCCTTCATGCAGGGGAACCTCTTCTCACCCTCCAGTCTGGAGGGGGGCGGGACCTGAAGGCCACCCAGGGGGTCCAGAGACAGCGCGTCCAGGAACAGACTCTCCGTGGGGCCCTTCAGCCTCATCAAAGCTCCCTGCTCCTCCAGCAAGGCCTCGGAGTCCGAATGGGAGCGGGTGGGCGGCGCCGGCGGGGGGGCGGAGGCGCAGGGGGACCGGGGGGCTCGAGGGGAGCGCGGGCAGGGGCTGTCCTGGGGGGAGAAGACCCCTCGGCCGCCATCTCTGACATCAGGGCCCTCGCCTCTTCTGGAGTTCAGCTCTCGCTGCATCTGGACACGATGCATGAAGATGAGGAATGCGGGCTGATTTTAGTTCCTGAAGGGTCCTTAAAGTACTTTTACATTTCATACATTCAGTCTCATAAATGGCCCATGGGGCCCTTCATCATCACCTGTATTAACAATGTATTATCTTCATAATACTTTAGTGCAGTTTGGGTTATTTTTAGGTTTGAAATTTTCCACGATTTGTTTAACTAGCAAACCTTCCTTTCACAAAACTTCTGAAGATAACATTTTCCACATGAAACCAGTTTTTGATGTTTAAACAAATGATTAATTTTCCTCCTTATGGGTGGGAGAATAACAAAAACTAAAATAACGCCGATATACAGGAACTGGAAGCTGGTGTAGTTTTTTATGGTGTAGTATTAAATGTGTCACTGATAAAGTGGAGTCACCAAACGCTTTGAGTTTAGAATAAATAAGTGGATAGCAATAAAATAAAACAATCTTCAAAAAGCTAAAGAAATTATTTGGAGAAATAATCTATAAGAAATGTATCTGTTGAAAAGAGTTCTTCTATGATTTTTTTCCTTTTTGCAGTGAAAAAATAAATGGATATTTCGTTCGGAATGAACAGTAAGTTCTGTGCATGCAATTTAATATGGGAATTTGTTATGATTTATTATGTTTAGACTCAGGGAAAGGTTTTCTTCCCACTCTGGTCCATACACTATCCGGGTGACCTTTTTAATGCACCTTTACAAAACATGCAAAGGAGCTGGTAGGAGCAGGAGTTCCAAAAAGCTGGACAGAGAGAGTTCTTGACAAAAACTCTTTGACCTTGAGCCGGCTAACTTTTTTAGCTGAAACATCTGGGATCACACATCTCGTCCCGGGCTTGTTATGACAGCGCCTGATTCAGTCATTCAGCAGCTCACTGTTTTCCGCTGCTCAGCTAAATTATGCATGTCCGCTTCCGTTTCATCTCTCCGTCCAGAGGTGCATCAGCAGTTTTTCCTCTCCAATCCAAAACGTGAGCTGCGTTCACTATGGCTGTGCTCTGCATGGAGGATCTTTCTCATGCATCATTATTTCAGCTGCAAAGATTCTATAAGCTGCCCAAACTACCTTCCAGTTCAGGTTTATTTTACCAAAATATCCTGAACTGTGATCGGATTAAACACAGATTTACCTGCTTTAAAGAAATCCTCTCCTCCCCCTGCTGTTATCTACAGTTAGATAAAGCAGAGAGGTCTCATGGATTACACTGACCCCCCCTGCACCCTGCTCTTTGTTTACCGCGTTTGTGACTTAGAAACAGGAGATTTCGACGTAAAAATCTTTTCGTGTTAACTATTCCTTTATGTCTGATAAGCAGCTTTGAAGAAGACATGTTCACAGAACGTAAACAGATCCAAATAGTGGATTGGACCAGGCTGGCTGACGTTTGACGGGAAACATGTGGCGAGGACTGTTTTCATGTAGCCAACTTCACAAAATTAGAAAGGCATGAAAATCCAGTTTTGAAGATGCTATTGTTTTTGTTTTTGTTCCCCGGAATTTCCCTCAGATTAAGCATTTACGGCAGAAAATTGACTCAGACGATGAGAGCTGTTTCTTGCAGCAGACTGTAACTGTGTCTGTTTGCAGTAAAATGGAAAATTTGAACTTAGAGGGTCGACCCTGTCATTTTGATCCCTTCTGCTTTGTCCTTTTTAGAAGCTTCTGAACTCATGGCATCACCACATTGTTTATATATTATCACTCCTGTAAATATCTTTGAAGAAGGAGGTTAAGAAACGACCAGATTCCATGTAACTATCAATTCATCTTAATCTATTTTATTTCCTTTCTTTAGCCAAGAAAGTCTCTTTGGGATCTCCTCCTCCAGAAAAGGGTTAGATCTTTGTTAGGCCCTCTCACCCTCTCCATCTTGTGGTGGAGCTCCCTCATGCTGCCGTCCCACTCCTGCCGCTCCCGGTCGAAGCGCTCCAGGAGCTCCGCCCTCTCGCGGCTCCACCTGTTCTCGCCGTGCTGCAGCTTCCAGCGGAGGTCCAGCGAGGTGCTGTGGCTCTCGGCCAGCAGGCGCCGGTGCTCCTCGCGCTCCTGCTTCAGCGGCCGCTCGGGGTCTCCGGCCGGCTCGCCCTCGCCTCCCTGCGCCTCCCCCCGCGCCTCCCCCTCCAGCTGGTCAGAGAAGCAGAGGGACAAACTTCAGGCCCAGGGTCTGCTGGACGTTCACACCCCCCTTCTCCATAACATCGAGCCGAGCTGAGCACATTTATTCTCCTCAAAAATATGGAAAAAAGGAAACGTGGCGAGCTTTGTGATCACAACTGAGGTTTTCAAGCAACATAACTGAAAGAATGTGTAAGTAGGACTAAGAGCGATGTGTCTGTGTGCATCAGACCTCTCTAGTATTTAGTTTATTTTACTCCTCTCTCGTACAATATTACTGTGGATAAGGATACAAGACAAATTACACTTATTAATATGCCTTAAGCAGAAAAATCCAAAATAATAAAAAAACAAAGAGAAGAGACGCATTTCAGGATTTTGCAGAAATATAAACAAACCTGCTCAATGCTCTTGTCTGGCTGCATTAACTATTTTCAACTTGTGCATTTGCATAAAAGGAGTGAAGAGAGATCCGACCCCAACAGGGACCAAAAGTCACGATCCCACCGGTGCAAACCGGGCCACAACCGGCATCATTCACTCAGAGTTTATGCTGCAGAAGGTAAAACGGCCTCCTTCCTTTGCTGGAAGCAGGAGTCCAGCAGAAAACATAAGCTAAGTGGCTCAAATAAATACGCTTTGACATAGTGGCTTTCATCGCACTCTTCAGGACAAGCTGTTGGATTTGGATAGTTTTTATGGCAGTTATGGACCTGCGGCCGTTATCTCTCCATTTAACCTCTATGTGCGTTATTTGTCTCTCCTTCTGTGGTGAGAGTGAGCCTTAATGAGGGGATGTGCGACGGGGGACGATGACACACCGCACACTCAGAGCAATCCGTTTCATATCTCAGACGCTCTCAAAACGCAGCAGCAGATAGCTCCTCTGGCCACAAATTCAAAACAGAGCACTATTTCTCCGAGCAGAAAGAAGCCTAATGTTTTTTAGTGAATGAGGCAAGCATCAAACAGCTCACTGGCCAGCATCATTTTCCTAATGCACCAAGTCAAAGGTCTGTAAGGTTATTACAGAATATGCACACTGCAGATTCTACCATGCCGCAAACTGAGCCACAGCCTTGTCGTGGACAAAAAGAGCAAAAAAGTCAGATTTTTCCCAATCGAGGTAAAAGTTACCACTAAGGCTAAAGAGATCCAGACAATAATGATCAGCGTTAATTCAAAGCAAAGACGGTTAGATGACGATCTGAACTGTGCTGCTGTTTGCAGCCGTGTTGCTTTTGTGGATTTACGTTTCAGAACTTCCCACTGGCAGGCGGAGGAGGGCTCGTATCTGTGAGGGGTTCAAAGATCCTGCAGGATTCTTCAAAGCTGCAGGCCGACTAAAAGTGGTCCACCTCTTTCTCCTAAAGAACAGAGCTTTTCGGTCTCCAAAGAGGCTTTGATCCCACAGCATTATGGGAAAGATCAGGAGGGTTCTGCGTGAGGAGTGATTAAGTGCAATCTGAAAAACGTCTTTATTCATTAACACAGGTTTTTCGTCTCCTTATCAAACTTTTAAACCATCCTGTAATAGCTGCTGGGGTTTGATCATCACATACGGCGTCATTTTGAAAGGTTTCCTCAGAGAGAAGCCCAGCAGAGCGGGTAGAGAACTCAACGTCACGTTATCAGATGGAACTAAGCACATTAGTGCTGGCTGCAGCCCTCGGCGACCTCTGCTCTGTGCGAGGACTTAACCACGCAAGGGCCTCGCAGATTAAAACCATGCGGGTTAAAAGATAATCTTCCGCCTATAACTCAAAACTCCTAATTGGTTCAGAAAGCTGCGTTTTCCTTTTTATCAGATAAAGCTTCGGAGCGACTCTGCTCAGACACTGAGCTCCAGATTTGATCTCCCCGTGGCGGCGGTCAGAAGGAAAGGCGTTCGGTGTCCTCCAGCCGAGTGCAGGCTTTGTTTTTCCCCGCACAGTTGGCTGTCGGGTTTGATTGTCCTCCGACTCAGGAAGGGACGCAAAATCTTGAGGTTAAATCAGACACAAGCGACGGTGAGGCTCCCAACGTCGTGTATCGGCATGGATTCAATCCCAGAAGGCCATGTGATTCAATATTTTCTATGGAGGCTCTCTCTCATTGCAGGGATATGGCTTATTATACTGTATACTGTCACTATTAAAAGGCTCGTCTCAACACCTGCAAAGAAACCAGCATCTCAGCCCAAAACAAACCGGAGAGAAAGCCTAATCCAAGTCCTCCGAGCAGCTTGTTGATCTCTAAATTTCTCTGACAAACAGGTATTTTCTATTTTCCACACTGATCTTGTTCGTCTCTGTGTGGGATGAACGGGATCTTATTCATTTTCTATAAATCTGTGCTGTATAGCAGGGACATGCATACAAAAATCCAAATTCCCACCTTTGCCTCTATCTTTCTATTCTGATCTGATTTAAATTAAACACATTTGGGGGCTATTTGTCATTTCAATGCGGTTTAAAACGCATCAGAGGGATAAAAGACACAGGGGAGGAAAAAAAAATCTCATCTTTAGTTTGCCTTGAGAGGAATTTCATGCATGGGAGAGGCAACATGTTTGCTGCCGTCTTCCCGCTTTCCGAAAGCACCCCCCCCCTCCACCCCCCCGTTCCGTGGAGCAGATTGTGCTCCGTCTCTGTGAAGGAGGGTGCTGCGCCGCCATCTGTACCTGGGAAACCTGGCACTTCATCTCTGCCCACTTGACCTCCCAGGTGGCTTTGTCGTTGGCGTAGGACTGCTGCAGCTGGAGTCGCCGTGCCTCCTCGTCCCGCAGCTCCTCCCGAAACTCCTCCAGCAGCGCGCGCACCGCCTGCAGCACCCGCCGGTTCTCACCAAACTGCGCACAGAGACACACAAGTCCAGCACATTAGGAAAAAACAACATTCATGTCTACACAACCTGTTTATTTTCATTTGGTTTTGTTTGGCTTTTCCACATTTCTTTGTTTTTATACAGCTTTTGCTCATTGGTAAGGTTCTGGTCTGATATGTGTCGACTGCTCTTTAATCATTTTTTGGCCATTACTGAAAACATTTTGTCTCGTTTTTTCCAGAAAAAGCCTCACTGGACTCTCCAATGGTGCTGCTGTTGCCAGCTGATGTTTGATCATAAATCGAATGATTAGAAATGTGTGAAAAACTTTAGCAGATATGAAGTCTCGGTAGAATAAGACGGCACCGGCTCTGATGGAGCCTCGCTGTGCTCAAAACGCCAACTCTGCGGAAATGAAGCCCAAAGCGGCGAATTTAAAAGACGCCAGCGGGGAGTGCTTCCATCTGATTTACTGCTCTGAGGTTTGTCACAGCAGAAGTTTCTAACTCATTTCAGAGCCCTTTACGACGTACTGAGGACAGCTGTCGACACCAAAAGCAACGAGAGCCTTCAACCTCTGCAGGGAAACTATCTCATCTCCATTATTCATGCTATTTATGCATTTAAGCACCTCGGTGTGTGAGTCAGGGTTCCTCGTTCCCCGATCCGACATTCAGCCTGAATTCCAACCCAAGTATTGAGTGTAAACCTCTGAATGACCCTATTTCCAGCCTAACACACTATTATCTCCCTCCGGCTTCAGACCATAGCTATCACCGTGTGCACAAACGCTCACCGAAGAGGTCGACACGCTCCTTAAGGGGTTGAGAAGTTGCTGTAAAACAACATCATATCGCTGCTAAAGCCATTTTTATGATGCATGTGTGTGGATGGGGTGGAAATCAAAACACAGGACAAAGCGGATCACTTTGGCCTGCTTAATAATGCATTACCCCCCCCCGTAAAATGCTTAGGTACTGCGTTTAAGTTCAGCAGACGGGGAAAAGCAGAGCGTCTGTACGGAGGCAATAAAGTCACAGCTCCTTTAAACCTCGACGTGCGGCTTCTCCTGTTTTAAAGTCAACAAGACGCGGCAAACTGGGTGCTCTCAAAATAATCGCTGCCTCGAACCAGTTAACTGGGTCAAAATCTGCATACTGCTGCAAACTACTCTAATTAACGTTTGCCAAGTGTGAGCTTCTGCTCAATAAAACCGCATCCAGTCCAAGTCAGTTCATCACAGAATGGTACCAAATGGCATCTGGACGCTGTTATGGGTGCACGTCGCTCATTACGAACACAGAGAAACATTTTTTATTCGTTCATTCACTGGTGTTTCATATTTCTAATCTTGATTTTAATTATTTCACTTCCCTCCCGAGGCCCCTTCACCAGCTTGTTGGTGAAGACTTTCATCAAAGATTATTTTCTTTCTTTATAAAGTTTGTCGACCATATAATTAACTGCGATTATCATTATTATTTCTTTAACGTGTCGATTAATCTAAAATAAATTGAAATTGTAAGCATTTAAGCCCCGTGGTCTTGGGATGCTTGTTGGAGCCCAGATTTTTGCATTTAGAGTTCAGGGAAAGGGCCTGGATGTAGCACAAATCCAGGGTTGCTACTTTATATTGACCGGGGATCTACAAAAGTCAAAGATCTGAAGCTGGACCTGCATTCAGTTCTTTCTGACTGCTTTGTGGCCTGAACCCAGACGCCGTCTGTAGGTGCGTTCTGCTCATTTCCTGCGGCGTTTTGCTCATAGAGCCGGCGGGGGAGGAGGCGGAGAGGCGTCCCGTACCTGCCGCTGATGCTGCGGGTGGCGGTCTGGCGAGGGCAGAGCCGGGGGGGGGGCCGGACTCCGTGGTGTCCCCTGACGGAGCGGGGTCCGGCTCGGCCTCCGACTGCTCCACTATCACGCCCAGCTCCGGGCAGCCCTCCAGCTTCTCGAACTGGGAACAGAAGACAGCACCGTTAGTTACTCCCCTCCAACTCAAACGTGGGACGGGTTTAAGAGAAGCCGGCAGACGAGGGAAGGCCCCCCCAGGTGAGTCGTTCTCAGGCAAATCTGTTTCACTTTGTGGAAAAGCCAGTTTGGACACACTCATTACAGCTCAGGAGTGCCTCAGACTGAAATCAGGTTCATCATTTCAGGAAACCGTAATATCTTTGAACTGAAGTTACAGCGCAGGCTGATAATAAAATATTCAGCCTGAGGTATAAAAAAATAAAAAAATAAAAAGGCTGTAATTGAAATGTATCTTTTGATATTCTAGCCGACCACAAAGGTAATTTGTGTACAAACAGCCGAGAAAACATGATTAATTCCATTAACTAAATCTCATCAAACAGGAAATTTAAGGTTTGTTGGTGCAGAGGTCTCAAGGGAACATTTGGGGAAAACAAAACAAAGCAAAACATGAGCTGAGCCTGTAGCCCCTGAAAGGAGAGAAACATTAAACTCCGAATCAACCAATAGAGTTACACAATCAAACAGGCCACCAATCAACCGTCGGTCCTGCAGCTTTCCGAGTCCTCGTGGGATTTAAACGCCCCCCCAGGCCGGGCGGTGAGTCAGAATGAGCGGCTCTCTGGTTCCCAGTTTCCCCACTCCATTTATTGCTGGTGACAGACCCAAAGCAGACTCTCGAAACGCGACAAAACAGATGCATTCGGCAAAAACTGCTTCTGGTATCACCGCTTTGTCATTTCCTGTGTCATATCTTCATTTTGGCACACAGACACGAGGCTTTCTGTGCCAATTCTACAATGATGAGGTATTTTTTTAACATAATAATCTACATTTGAACCCCTTCAACTAGACAACAGTGATTCATTTAGGCCAGTGATGGAGCTGTGCAGTCTAACCAGGGGAGTACGTTAATATTAGGGGTGCACAGAGGGGTGAATACTCAGCTCCAGCTTCGGGCCGGAGCCTCTAAAAGCAGACTCACCTCCGGGTGCGCCGGCTTGTCCCCCGGGTCGTCCTTGCGGCCGAGTCTCCAGTGCGTGAGGATCCACCGGAGCTTCATGTAGAAGACCACGGTGTTGCGTCTGAAGAGACGCAGCTCCTGCTGGAGCGCCGCTCGCTCCTGAGGCCACGGCGCCTCCTGGCTCTGCAGACCCTGGAGCTCCAGAGGGTCCCGCGGAGCCTCCAGACGCAGGCGCTCCTCCTCCAGCTGCGGGCCAGAGACTCACAGGGTCAAGAAACCCACCTAAGCCCAACCGTCATGACCACCCCACTACCTCGTTTTGACAGTTTAACTCCTGCAGAGATAGCATCACAGTGCGTTTGTGATTTGAAGGGTGTCGGTCTGTACCTGAGGCAGAGCACCAACGGCCTCCCGTTCCTCGGCTGTGGCTCTCATCCTTCGTTCATGATCCAGACGAAACTGGAAGTCAGAAGCCGACGTGTCCCGAAGCTGAAGCCACAACGGCAAAGCAAAGCCTTACTGAACCGGCTCTCTGAGTGAGCTCACACAGACTGAGATCTTCAACCCAAGTTACATCTACAAAGTTAAACGGGAATTTCTTGAAAAAAAAAAAAGAACAAAATGTATAAAACAGAGGGCCTGAGTTCCTGGTAGTAACCAAACACTTTGCAGAGAGTAGAGAAGGGAAATAGTTCATTTGAAATGTTTAAGCACATCACTTATATGAATTCACATCCTTAAATAGACTCAAAGACACACCTGAATTCACCTGGTTAGCTGAATACAGGGGCAGGTACATGAATTTTTAAATTTTACTGAAAACTTTTACAGATTTTATGAGATGTGGTGCACATATCTTTATGGTTTTGAATGTCCTGATTCCTTTTTTAAGTATATTGTTGAACTCTAATCATCAGGATAAATCTCTGCCTATGTATTTTCTAATATGTGCAGACCGCCCCGTTTCAGAAACTCCGGCTGTTTTTAAATTCGACTTTCCGGGGACGCAGGCCGAACCCTCCCGACGGTAAGTCGAGCCGATCAGGGCGTGCTGATCCCGGATCGCCTCCCCGTCGGCCCAATGTCAAACGCAAATCTCGCCTGCTGACAGTGCAGCGCTAATCCCGCCGCATCCCAGAGCTGCTTTCCCTTCATTCAGTTCCCCTCCCGGCTTAGGGCCGGAGGAGGCCCTCCGGCTGCCGTGGCTCTGTGTCACGCCGCCGCCGCCAGAGCGCCGCGTTGCATAACGGCCGGCCCAATCTCTGCCAGCATGAGGCGGCCATTATGGACCACAATACCCTCTGACCGAGTCAGCGGGAGGTTTAACAGATCTGAGACGGGGACGGGGCTGGGAGCGCTCTGCTTTTTGACCCCTTTGACCCCTCCGTGACACTTCTGTTGGCGGCCCACACTCGGACGTGCACCCAAACGTGCCGAGTCATGGAAGAGGGTAGCCAGACTCAAGTATCACTTCGAGTTTGCAGACTCAGCGAGGGACTGCAGAAACCTCGCACCGTCAGTGTTCTGCATCCCCCCCCCCCACCCCAACCCTCGCTGTTTACCAGCGGGCTCATTTTTCCACGTGGAACAGCGCACGTGAGCAAAAAAATGTTACCTCCACTTGTTTCCTCGATCGATAAGTCAATATCCAACTGCCCGGGGGGGGGGGGGTTGGGGGGTTGAGGGGAGGGGATGTGAGCTACACAGACTAAATCAGAGCACATAAAACCAAAGGAGGAGATCAAAATCAAAAGAAAAATTCAGTAGCTGTGAGTTCCAGTGTGAATGGATGGAGGGAAACGGTGCTCTTAAAGTGACCGCGGCTGGACTGAGCGGCCTCCTGAAAAGACCCCACTCGATGATTTTCGAGCCGGAAGTTAATTTTGCCCTTAAAAGTTTCACTCGTTGTTGTTTGGAACGGTGTCAGGACTGACTCATTTCGCAGCACATTTGATAATAACATATAATCATCCCTAACATCGTAATTAGTGCCGGCCTTGTTCCGGATTGAGCCGACTTTTTTTATCATCCCTGCAGTGAGCTTAACCGAGTTAGATGTGGGCGTCGGTAAACAGCCTGTAACATTAACCTCACCACCGCAGCTGATGTTGATCATCGGGGAGAGCAGAGCCAAATATCAGTGACCAGTCAGGACTGCAACAGCCTGGAACCGCGTCTGAACTACAAAAAGGAGTTTTAGGCTTGAATGAGCGAGAATTCCCAAATGAGAGGAGTTTTTTTTTTTCACAACCTCCTGATTGGCAGCTGCGTTTTTGCCCGCAGGCTGCATGGATTTCCAGCAGGATCTGCCGACACCCCGACTGGGGGTGTATCTGGGCTGACATCAGGCACGTTAAAATGCTCGATCGCCGTCTGGACGTCGTCCGTTGATCGATATGATGAGAAAAAACCTACTTCAGCTCATTCTAGAGCTGATCTTTGAAAGCTGCTACGCTGCTCTCCGCTTTTGCCTCAACATCAGCTGGAGGGGGGCCTCAAAAGAAAAAACAGCGTCCATCTCAAAGACAGTCCTTGTCATGCTTTCGACCCGGCGGAAGGCCCACTGGCCCCCCCCCGGGGGAAGGAAAGGTGGAGGAGGGAGGAGGCACTGACCTCTATTCTTAAAGCCAGGGGCCTGTGGTACCTAGTGAGTCCCGTGGTCCCCCTGCTCTGGGCCTGGCCCCCACCCTGGCTCTGGCTCTGGGGTTCCACGCCTCGCTCCTGTCCTAGACGCCACTCCAGCTCATCCCTCTGAACGGACTGAGTGACGGGGGGGGGGGGAGGGGGGGGGACATGTGTGAAGTGGATCGTCGACAAAAAAGACATAAGACGACAAATCGGGTGAGAGGACGAGAGAAGAATGCATAAGGGGTAATAACAAAAAAACCAAAAAAAGAATATAGCAGAGGAAGAGGAGGGGAGGGGGGGGGGGGGGGGGGGGGGGTGGGGGGGTCAACCGATAACTATAAAGTGTGGAGACGGACTAGAGTACGAAGAAAAGCGCAAAGAGAAAGACCAACTTAAAGATGACGGCGTATGAGAGGGATGAGAAGAGAACGAGAATGAGGATGAACAAAATCATGGGCTGAAACATCTGGCGGGAACACAAAGAGGAGCAAAGAGAGGGAACCGGGGGGG